AGTTGAAGTCCACCCGTCTTCAAGTGGCCCAGGTTGAGAAACACTGGTCTACATTATGTAAATAAATGATGATCTGTAAATAAATGATGGCCTGTGTCTCAAGCAACTAGCCACAAACTGGTTTCTAACAATGAAGCTCCATGCTTGGGTTAATTTTTAATTGTCATTTTCACCTTGTTTTTTAAAAAGTTCATGATTTTCATCCCGAGAGAACCGCTAAGGACTAAATACAAGAGTTCAGCCTGCAAAAGATGGAAAGGAACTGGCCATCTGGTCAAGACAGCCTAATTCTGTTCCTGGAGATCCATGACGGATTTGTCCGATTGGATCAAAAGTGAGCCAGAACCGAGGCAGGGTCAGGATGAAGGAAAAATGGTTTGCACTTCGCGCGTTGTTGTAAGCTTATTCCGCTAGCACGTCCCGAATGGACATCTGCTGGAGTCTCCACCTTCCTCCCTCTTGCAACTCAATTTGCAAACTGACGCAGAGAAACATCAGTGAAGGCCACAGTGAAGCGAAGGATGGAAAAACGAGCAACTCACTCATTTGGGATGGGACCTAAACTGTTTCTAGGAACCAACTGCTTATTTCACACATGCTATGTTAATTCTACTTCAAGTGCAAATGACCGGCACTGGATTCATTGAGCAACGCTTGCCTGCACTCAGCCCTTGAGCCTGAACGAAGAGGGTGTATTTGATTTTTAAGGAGAAGGTCCTGGGGGCAGAGAAAGAACAAAAGGACTCTTGTCCAATGAGTTAAATGACCGATACTCACATTGTGGGAAAAGGCATAGGGGGTTATCCAGGTGACAAGCTGCCCCAACACCTCAGCCTGATAATAGATGCCCTTAATGGAGAGAAAGACCTGGGGAGGAGCACAGAAAACAAACTCAGCCAGAAAAACAGCCAAGAACTCCAAAACTGCAGACAGGTAAGAAATGACCAGCAGCTCCTTCGTTAATTGATCCTCTTGGCACGTACAGATCCAAGAGAAATTGAGCAGCGTTTGCATCTCCTACGGGCCCTTCCCGGCTCACCTTGCGTAGACCGTGCGAGGCGATGACGTAGTTGAGAAACTCCACCGTAAGCCGACGACACAGCTGGATGATCTGGACGTGGCACTTGCCGGTGCGTGGGAAGGTGGCAAAGAGGACGCACATGGAGAGCGCATCGTCCAAATCTCGCAGGGCATCCACAAAGGTTGGGTATCTGCAGCCATGATAACATCAACACCATCTTTGTAGTTTTCTTGCCTGGAGTCCTTTATCCAAACTGTACCAACGCTAATTTCACTCTCAGGGGCTCTTTTTGGGCAGCTCTGCCTCCCTGACACTTACGCGAGAGAAATCTGCCCCCAGGACTTGATCCTGCTGCTCCTGGGTGGAAAGATGTCCCAGCTTCCCTTCTCATGGAAGAAGCTTTTCAGACCTCCAAGACTGGGTTCACGAGACTAATCGAGTCAGTTAGCTAGCGAGCAGCTGCGTTTGCAGAAGCCGAACTTTACTCACATTGACTTTTTTGTGGCTTAGAGCAGGCAGAGATTCAGCCTGTCCCCTTAACTTATGGCTTAATGCATCACATGAACTCCAGAAACGGGATAATTTAATCAGCAAGTTAAACATGTTCAGGCCAAATGACAAAGCTAGAAAAGGGCCAATAAAGATTGGCTCAATATAAAAGTGAGTGTTCAGATCCCGTTATGCAACCTTGCTTAACCATAATAGTTTGGGTGCCCAGTCAAATCTAAACAGAACACATTCAGGCTCAGATTGAATGTGGATCCAAACCTAACTGTATGTATAGCCATATAGGGACAAAGCAAATGTATTTTATTAATTATGAACATCCTTCCACTAAAACTGCATTTATCTGCTTCTCAATATCTTCCTTTCCTGATAAATGCAGCTCTCCAAGAATTATCAGGCCCATCATAACACTACAACTCTAAAAAAACCCAAAGGTTAAATATAAAGTCCTCCAAGATGCAAAGAAATGAGAAGGATTGGGACTGCCTGATTTGAAACTGTATTTTGCAGCCATTTGGTTTGGATGCAAGAGTGGGTGCTGCTAAGAAATAAGAAAATTCTAGAACTAGAAGAGCATGACCTGAGGTTTGGATGGCATGGTTTTCTATGGTATGACAAAGTTAAGGTTAATGCAGATTTTAAAAATCACTATATTAGAAGTGAGAACCTTATGACCACAATAGGGACTGGAAAATTTGTTGTTAAGCAGGGTGGTTGTTAAGTGAGTCATGCCCAACTTTACAACCTTTTTTGCAGCGGTCATTAAGCGAATCCCCATGGCCATTAAGCAAATCACGTGGTTCCCCATTGATTTTGCTTGCCAGAAGCTGGCTGGGAAGGTTGCAAATGGCGATCACATGACCCCAGGGCACTGCAACTATCGTAAGTGCAAGCTGGTTGCCAAGTGCCTGGATCACAATCATGTGACCGCGGGGGTGCTGTGACAGTTGTAAGTGCGAGGACCAGTTGTAAGTTCCCGTTGTAACATTGGTCACTAAACAAATGGTTGTTAAGTGAGGACTATATAAACCCAGATTGTGCCTGAAAATGCCTTTATGAGTCTCAGCAGAAGCAGCATTTTATAGAAAAGAAATAGTAGGCAAAGAGAGTTAGCGTATAGAGAGCTGTTAGAACAAGAGCACGGAGAATATAAGATGAAATCAAGAGAGCAACTGACTGCAAAGGGATCTAGCTTTCAATGATTTTTGTATACACGGTTAAGAGAAAAATTTGGAACTGAACAGCACAAGACAAAATTTGAAATTGAACTATGTACAAATGACGAACATTCAACTGCTAAAATGTATAAACTTTTGTTGAAATTTGAAATGGAAGAAGAACAAGTGAAAAAGTGTATCTTAAAATGGGCTAACAACTTTGGACATAATATACTCATGGGACGATGGCAAAATATGTGGCTGAAAGGACTGAAATTTACATTATAATTATATGTCACCAGAGCAATTGTCTATAATGTATAAAGGCACTTCAAACTTATGTTGGAAATGTGGAAAACATGAAGAGTCATTTTATCATGGCTGGTGGACTTGTAAAAAAGCCAGAAAATTTTGGGTTCAAATACACACAGTGATGCAAAGAATTTTAAAGATTAGTATTTGAAAATCAGAACTTTTCTTGTTGGGACTAATAGAGAGACAATTAGAAAAGAGTTATGGAAGACTGTTTTTATATATGATCACTGCTGTGAGATTATTATATGCCCAAAAATGGAAAGACTCTGAAATACCCACAATGGAGCAATGATTGGTAAAGATGACAGAATTAGCAGAAATGGCAAAATTGACTTGTTTGATTAAAGAAAGGACAATAACCACATTTATCAGTGACTGGAAACCCCTTATGGACTCTTTGCTGAAAAAAGAAAAAAATGAACTTGTGATTTATGGCTTTGACGATTACAAAGGGTAGACTATAGACAGAACGAAATTATGTTGTAACCTTAGAGAGAGGGTAAAAGATAAACGAAGTTGTAGCTGCTGTTATGCAGACTGGAAGCCGCTCCTTTATAACTTTTTCTTTTCTTTTTCTTCTCTCTTTCTTTCTTTGCATTACTTTTTCTACGTCTTACTTTTCTTTCTTTTAAAATTGGTAATTGCTTTTATCCTCTTAAAAATTTCTTTAAAATTCTTTAAAAATTACATATAGATTAAACTGCTCACTTTCCCCTCCAAAGCCTTGATGGACAACTGATCCCCAGGAGTCTTACCTCTCTTTGATAATGTGGTCCAACTTATAAGCCGGCTTGTTCTCTTTCAGCCGCTGCACTGTGTTCCATTCGCTCTTCCCGTAGGCTTTACGCAATTTTCGGACAAACACCTTGAGAAGAGAAGCATGTCAGTGCCCCGCACTTCCCAACACCCAACCCACAGTTCTAGGGCCCAGCAGGCCATCCACCAACGCGTCTCCTTCCTCTTCTGCAGCAAGGCCACCCTGACACTTGGGTCCATTTCCTTTTATACTGTACGACCTATAACAATATTCAAGCATGCTATTCTCTCTCTCAGAATTAACTTCCCAGGCCAACCAGACAATTTTTACCTTCAACACCTGCTGTTAGATCAGAATGATTTTGTTCCGTACGCATTCCCAAATTCTGAAACGTTGCCTACAGACCCCAAGTGGACTAACGGACTGGTTATATTTTACAGCACTTTCACTGATTCTGTGTTTTGCTAAATCTGTTTAAACTAACCAGGTGCCTTTTTACATTTTATATTTTTGATTATGCGAGTTATTAGCTTTTTAGACTTTACTGTTATGTTGTGGCCTTTAGAAAGTGTACATGTTAACTATAGTCTTGCTTTTACCATTTTGGAGTTTTATATGATTAGTTTAGTCATGTTATACAGCTAAGATTAGATTGGATTGTCCTTACTGAATTGGATACAAATTTTTTACATACTGTTTTTTCACTGGACTATGACCATATTGAAACTATTTATCTATCTACCTTACAGACACCAGCTGGTTTAGCTTCCTCACCCAGAATGCTAGCAACTTTAATAAATGTTGGGCTGGACAAAATGACCTTAATTAATTTCGCCACTGATACACTGGGTTGTAAGTGACATCTGTACTTATCAAATCATTAACACAGGAAGAAAAGGCATTACAACTCACCTTCTGGGCAAGTTGCAGAACAGCAATTTTTGAAAAGTGCCAATAACTCCCACCCCACCTCCTCCAAAATGGCTGTTATGCCCAGAGGTTCATCTGCTGCTTTTATACGTTCCGGGTTCCCCAGGATCGTGATACCTTATATTCCCGGAATTTGTTGACAATGGGCTCATGGAGAAGAAATTTTATGTCTTTCAAGAGGTAGAACGTCCGGGCAGCTGTTGATCCCTTGTTCACTTTCTTCTTGTGTTTGGGCTCATGGGGATAAATCCCCTTTAGGATGCAGAGTCGCCTGGAAAAGGAAAGCAGGTGAGAAAATGGGCTCAGGTTGCTTTTTTGCTACCTTAAGGTCTTGGTGGCTTCACATTTAACGGTGAGGAAGCAGAGGTCTTGTCATTCCTTTGTTAACTTTGGGGGACAGCAGGTGCCAAAACTCAACTGCCAAAATAAACCCCAAAGTCTCAATGATGGATTCACACATCCTGCAAATTCCTAACATGCTTTTGCCAAGCACGTTACGTAAAGCCCACTATCACTTAGCACAATGTGATCCTACCCAATGCTTTTCAGTCTCTAAATCTGCCCCAACTTGCATGCAAGTCAGACCTAAGGAAACAAGCGCATAAGAACACATTTGCTGCAGCAGACAGACAGATTCATCAATCAGGGATTCATCAATAACAAAGGCAAATGAAAGAGGTCACGTCTAGATGAAAAAATGCCCTATTAGGCGTGTGCAGACTCCTTCAAACTTGAAACCTGTCAAGTTCAGAATAGCTGTTTAACTGCTGGGAGCACAGATTTAAAAATGTTCAATTTCCACTGCTCCTTCTCCCAAACCAGCTTCCTTGAATTGCATGAATACACCCTGGACATTCCTATCTAAAGAAATCAGGGACAGAATGCTTCTTGCCTCCCAGCTGTTTCCCCGCTTGAGAAAGAGATAAACCCCTTGGCTGGTATGGCCTCACCTCTTGAAAACTTTGGCTCGGAAGACAGAAATCCCTCAAGGAAAACAAATTCTATATGTTCTCTGCAAGACAATCCTACCCAATGCACTCAGAGTTTTCTTTAAACACACTGCTGCTTCAATTCCCCTCCCTTAAAATAACATTTTCTCCCTATAACTTGTTCTGTATCTGAGGCTGGGTTTGCTTACCAGAACCATGGCTTATCCAACTGACCCAACAATCAAAGCCTATGTAACCTGCATAGCCTACTTATGCCGGCAGGGCATGTGGGAAAAACGGGAAACAGACAGATTCCTTGGAGTCCAGTTCAGTGTCCATCTGATTTTTCTTGGCAGCACTATTGATTTATTTTTATTTTCTTCTGAGATTTACCTCCCCCTTGCTCCTTTTCCAGCAAAAGTAGTGAGTGGGTGAAGGAACCTTAGTAGGTGACATCATCTAGCCATGATTGACAGACTTGACAATCACGGCTAGATGACATCACCTAGCATTTGGTGCACTTTGATTGGCAGAGCTTGCATTCACATGATACACTGAGCCACTAACTAGCTAATCCCCACTTTAGCACAGCCTGTTGCGGAACATAACCCACCTGGTTCTTTTATAGTTTAGTGTATCTTGCAAGCCCGGAAAACTGAGATAATTCAGTTAAACACAGTGCAGATAACCAAGTCCAAGCACCGTGTGCAGCTAGAGCAGTGTTCCTCAACCTTAGCAACTTTAAGATAGGTGGACTTCAACTCCCAGAATTCCCCCAGCCAACTGGCTGGGGAATTCTGGGAGTTGAAGTCCATCTATCTTAAAGTTGTTAAGGTTGAGAAGCACTGAGCTACAGGGTCATCATCCCCTTCCCATCAGTTCCTACTAAATTCCTACCAGGCATCATTGCAACTTCCCTGCACACAGAGCAACTCTCCCCTACGCAAGACTAGTAAATATCTTTGCCGTACCTGAAGTCCGGGAGGCTGAGCTGCAGTTTCTTCCGAGCCTTATTTCGGGTGATATAGTTGGTGGCGGAACCCCTCTCGTACTTTGGGGAAGGGGAGGGAGAAAGAGAGACAAAGTTGTTAATACCGCCTGCCTAAGGAGAGCCAACAGCTTGCTGCAGGAGGCCGGACCTCCCCAACCTGGAGCCCTCCGGATCTGCCAGGACCGCAGCACCCCCGTCGGCAGGTGGTCCCAACCCAGCTGGAAGTTGCCCGGCTGAAAAGGCCATCCAAGGATTGAGGTCGGGGTCTGTGAAAAGATCTTGAGGGACAGGAGGAGGAGAAGCCGCAGGGCTGAGCCCACAGAAGCGACGGAAGTGGAGAAAGCGTCTCAGAAGGGACCCTCCCTCCCCATTTCTCTGGAAAGTAAAAGCAGGGGAGGGGGAAGTGCTTTCAGGCCTGCAAGACCCTATCTATCTATCTATCTATCTATCTATCTATCTATCTATCTATCTATCTATCTATCTATCTATCTCTTTCTATCTTTCTGTCTATCTTCTATCTTTCTATCTCTTCTATCTATCTGTCTGTCTTCTATCATCTATCTATCTATCTATCTATCTATCTATCTATCTATCTATCTATCTATTTGTCGTATGGCGCATTCACATCGCAATTCAGCAGAATAAAAACACAAGAGACAAAACACAAATATATAATATAAACATATGTCTAGATTGCAAATATCCTTTTTGACGTCATTTGTCACAGCCAGGAAATCAACAGAGTCTCCATGATAGGCTCTGTTTTGGCCCCTCTGCCCCTCTCCGTCGGACAGTCTGTCTTTCAGCCCCACCACCCCAGTTCGGGGGTCTTATTTTGCCCCACTTATAAAGGGGCAAAACCTGCACCTCCACGGCGGCCCGTGCGAATCCTGCTCAAGGTTATCCACATCGCACGGGGCTGGTCAAATCCAGCAACCAAAGCCCTGCAAGTTCCTGTCTATTTACTTATGGTAGGGCACATTCGCATCGCCATTCAGTAGAATGGAAACCCCAGAGATAAAACACAAAATATATAATGTGAAATTCTAAGCGCGTGTCTAGATTCTGCTTCTAGCTTCTCGGTCGCTTGGCTGCCGATGTCCAGCAGGGCTCCGAGCAGCTTCCAAAACCTGCTTCCCGACAGTCAGAGGTAGACTGCCACTGAGCAAGGAGGCTCGACCCTCCGCCTCGGCTTCCCCAAGCGGCTGCCCTGCCTGAACACGGGGGGGCGCGCAA